TAAATTGGAAATTTGTACGAACTTGGAACGATAATCAGTCTCACATCTTGAAGCTAATTTTCTACTCAGAAAAGTCTATGACCAGACTCTCAAACCACTGACAATAAAGTCCATCCAACGCTGCTAAATTGTCGATCCAGTTGCATGCAGAAGTGGGAGGAATGACAAGTCCCTGAATCCTCCTATTCGGGTGAGGTACTAAACGCAAAAATACATAGCTATTGGTGTGACAATTAACAATAGGAAAGGAGAGTTCCTAGGACATAATCTGGGTCCTGGAATTGAGAGAGGGCACAATTATTGTCAAGTTGATAGACCTCTGCTAACCTGATGATTGGTACTCCATACTACTCAGAAATGCGAAGGCATAACTATTGACGGGATGAAATAATTTGGAGACAAGGTTCAGCTACTTCACATTTTTACTTTATCTTACTTTGTCTGGGTAAAGCCTAAGTTGCCTCTTCCAGCATAGAGGTTTGAAAATGCACACGTTGACAATTCGATACGTGGTGTTTGCATTCCAGTCAACCAAAAATTAGACAACACATGCCTATATTAAGCACAGGGTTGAGAAAAATTGATTTCATCCATGTTCCAAGTGAATGGCTCGATTTTTCAACAGTTTTCGCATTTTTAACGTCGTACATCTTTAGTTTCGAATTGGGGAACAAGCCCGTTAGAGATGAAAATCGACACAGTTAACTATTTTGCCATCACAGCTCTGTTGAGACGATAATTCCCTCTATTTAATCTCCTTAACTCCATTTCAATATGCTATTAACTGCACTTTTTAATACTGCTGCTCCTAGCACATTGCAGGATGTTGATCAATGAAGCTATCTTTAATGAGAATAAAATTCTAATGTGCCAGGAGAGTTTAGCCAAGGAAGAATGCACATCTTTTAGCAATAGTTGAAAGGATATTTGCTTGATTAAGACACAAAGTGTGAGCCTTTGCCAACACGAACGCACTTAATGTGTACCCTGATTGGGCTGTTAGTAGTAAATTGAAGTTGCATATCGAAAGAAAGCAAAATTGAATCAACCTATTTATGGAGTACTTAGTCTCCTTCGCTTGTGGATAATTGACTCCCCTGTTGAATTACAGGCAAACCATGTAGCTAATCCTCACCCATTCCCTTCGCAATAAAAACTCACTTCCCTTTCTCCACCTCCCCATTTTTTTCCTCCTGTCGACGCCAATCGGTTCAAACGATTGTACGACGGTACCGCTCCCGTCGATACCCATAGACACCACGACCACAGCAAACATACCAACACAAAGATTGTGTCCATATTACTACTGTAATCTCTATTAGTCTAATTTTATTGAACAAGTCAGGATGATGATCATCGAGAATGAATGGGAGGGAGTTCATCCCCTCCTGGTTTTGGACGAGTTAAGAAGGAGGAATATTAGGGCAAAGAGGGCTTGACAGAAGACATTTATACCGAGAATGCAAACGTAAGCCGTGAATCGATGTAGAAGACCGGTTTCACCACAGGTTACTTCAGTGACAACGTAGAATGCTTTATGTGCTTCTCCACAAGGAATCAGCCTCTTTGTAAATTCGTCTAGGTATGCTGTGGCTTGAACAGCCAACCAGGGTTTTATTTCCAACACAAGTTTGTCAGACATTCCTTCGAACTTCCTCTCCAATTTCTTCGTATCTACTATCAACTGGAAATTAACAAATGAAATGAAGAATCGATTCAGGCAAACAATTCAATAGTTTTTGAATGTACTCACTGAGCGAAATTCACTAACTGCATGCAATACCTTCTCAACGTCTGGCCAAGTTTCTCTCAATTCCATTTTAATTTTTGAAATTTCTTC